CTCTCTCTCTCTCTCTCTCTCTCTCTCTCTCTCTCTCTCTCTCTCTCTCTCTCTCTCTCTCTCTTCTTCTTCTTCTTTTATTTCGATACGCAACTCTTCTGCATCAAACTCGCACTTTTATTCGGAAAGCCAATTAACTCCTCTATCGTAACGTTCTTCTTATTAATGAGATATTTTTATGATTTTTATTCTCGCGAGATTCATTCGAGCATCATTAACGGTATTATGTAAAGGTAAAATGCAAGGAATTATTGATATATTAGCCCTTTGATAGATCCCAATTTCGGTCAGTCGTGATAGGAAAAGAGATTGATCGTGCTACTTGCATCATTTCATTCAAGGGACGATAATCAATATGCATACAGCGACAGGACATTACCGTCGATTTTGAATAAAAATGCATCGATAGCTTTGTATAGTACGTGTGCAGTGACAGCTTCGATTTCAACCCGACAGTTCTAATCCACTCCGGAAGCCCCGGTGATTCGGTCGATACGTAGGTAGATGCATTCGCTCGATCGGAATTCTTTTACGGCCCAGTTTGCATTTCACAATCTATTCCGAGTGAGGCATGGCTACGAAGGCATTTTTATCCAAGTGTCCTTCGGACAGTGCGCGCTGTCATTTATAATCTTGCATTACCAATCCAAGAAAGAATGGACAGTTGTTTTATCTATGTAGCATTTTTTTAAAACAACATGTTGCTCACATTGTCGAATATTCTTTCTCATTTCCATTTATAATCACAAGTCTTTTTACGATGTCTCAAATAATTATGTAATAGTAACAATTCAAATATCAGAGCTTTTTTCTTATTATTAAAGTAAATATTATTTAAATAAATATCAATTAAATATCAGTATATTAAATACACTTTTGCAACAGATTAACAAACAGATTAAAAAGATTAAACGATAAAAAATTAATTCTCGCATTTTATTAATATTCCTTTTGTAATCATTGAATATCTTGGTATATTATACGTATATATTATTCGTGATTACGAATGTCTGTCACCGTGTATTTTAATAATTCAGTTAATAATATTATAATTGAGTTAATAATATTTAAATTTATTAAAAGGTATTAATAAATCTTTGGAATTATTTTAATTAAAAATTATATATAATTTTTATTAATTATGTATATAATTTTAATTATTTTTATAAAATTCTTCTTTAAAAGATAAAATCTTAATACATTAGATATTAATTTTTTCTATTACAAAAAATTATATTAACTTTTTTAATCACGTGAAATCAATAATCAATTATATTTTATAAAATTGTTAATTGAATATGACATTAAATATTTATGTTATATTATTTATTTATGTTAATGTAATTTATTTATGTTGTGTTATTATTTATGTTATATATTTATGTTCATTAAATATAAGAAAAATTTGGTGATATCCACGTCCTACTAAAATCTCAGTTTATTTTAATGGAATATAATACATATTGCGTGGCAATATATTAGTTCAGTTCTTTTTGTTAATACGATAGAATTCTTACGTAATATCGGTTCAATCGTTCGCACTCGCAGTGCGTAGCATGTGTTTGACAGGTGACGGCGCAATTGTTTGTCGTTAAAGGTTCGGCGAAAAAAATTCGGTGCCGTTACCATTAAACGCGGCTACCCGCCGAACAAAAATTGCGCTTTTCCACCAGCTGGTCGCCTGATATTAACAACGTAACAATGCGCACTCGTGAGATCCCTCTCGAAAAAAAAGTGGACCGCGACGCGAACTATAAAATTGTTTCCATTTCGATTGCGCGTGTTAACGCACGCGGTATGCATTTATCCTTTGCTTCGCTAAGTGCAGGATTATTCGCGGTATAGTAGGATGGTAAGAAAATTAAAATAACAATGAGATGTGTAATCTAAAATCTCGTCTGTCTCGCATGTTTCTGAGAGAAGAGTCATCGGTTCTCAATTTGCCGCCATCGAAACAGGCATTGATTACACTTACGTTCATAAATTAAGAGCGATTATCTCGGTCAAATGCAAATGCCTGATAATGCAAACGATGAAAATGCATGAAGATGCAAAGAGGACAGGAGTCTGCTAATAACGTCGTCACCAACACGGACTTTGCTGGGTTTACGCAAAACATCGCTGACTGCGGTGAGTGTCCAATTATCCGATATTTTCTTTTCCTTCTTCTCGATTTTTTTTTTTAATTGTCAGTATTATTTAATCGTGACATTTTTATGGTGTGACAACACCTTTTTCGCGTAGCAAATCGTGAGAGCATCGTGTGCACTCGGTAGAGCACATGTATACGACGGATCAAAACCAGTCTGTGAGCGTGGTGTAGTTAATCTAGGATAAAGGTTGTACATAAGTGCACATGCATGATACGCTAAAGATCCATCCAACACACAGACACGCATCCCGGGATTTATAGAGCACCAGCTGAATCGAGGAGCCCCCAGATTTCGTGTGGGTCGGCAAATCGTAAACATGGCACCGATTTCTCAAGCCAGTGGAATGCAAAGCGAACCGATCGGATCCGGTAATTATCTCGATAATTATAACGGAGTAAGCAGATGTAGCTATCTAATATCGTTGCTCGAATAAATCAGAATCCATAACATGGGAGTTGCAATATATCACATATAACTGATAATTACAATGCAGACTACGACTACGTAAAAAAATCATTAAAATTTTTAATATCCAATTATCAGGAAACTCAGTGGGAATAAATCTTCATATTTCTATGTAGATGCAGAGAAAAAAAGAGAGAAAACGGGTTTCTCTCCTTATTCGTTTTTCATGTTGTTTCTTAAAAAAAAAAAATTCAAAATAGCTTTAAATCTCGAAAATTCATATTTAATATAAAAATGTCAAACTTGGGCAAAAACCAAAATCGTCTAGACACAATAATCTGAAACTATGCAAAATCTAAATCCTGAAATAAGACAGTCAAACGTAAAACTAACAATGCGGCATGTCAAAATTTCGAATAAAATTCTATTTATATGTTATTTGTCTTTATATGTATTTTACCGACAATGAAAGAATGAAAATAAAATTATTATTGCATTGTTACAAAGAATCTATGTGTATTTTTACATTTAGGCACATCTTGCATAATTCATTCAATAAATGATTTTTTTAACAAGAACGAATTGTACACGATAAAATATATTTTTCTCACGTTCACATCATACAATATCATCCTTTGAAAATCCATAATACTTATTTAATACTTCACGACACAACTGTGTACATGTTATAAGATATATATATACCACCTCGAGAATGAATATTAACTCTCTTTCTGTTGGCAAAAAAATGATACAGAAGTATTATTTATGGAGAAACTTCTGCTCAAATACTTTACACTCCATTGTTTTCACATATGTGTATAAGAAATCGCAGTAAAACAACACAGTTAAAATGCGCACATAATACAAATAATACTCATGCCTCGCATCCAGAATAATTAAAACTAAATTACCACAACGAACTAACGACGTGTATATATATATATATGAATTACGTCACGCCGGCAAATTACAGGATAAAAGTGCCGAGAGCTGTGACTAAAAATAAAGCTCACATACCGAACGGTCAAACTATGCTATGTAATATACATTGTGTTTCGCGAATGTTTTACGTTGACAGATGCGCGCGATGGCAATCCATGTGTGAGCAAATCGTCCGCGCGTCGCTATGTGAAGCAGATCTCGGCGTGGAACGTACACAGGGGATGACATTTGCATTCCCCTCCCTTACCCCCCCCCACCTCTCTTCCCACACCTTTATTCGTATTCGTCCTACGCGCTGCGAGCTCCGCGAGACAATTGGATGGAGTGAGGCGCGATCCCGCTTTTAAGAATGATGCATTAGCAACCGCGTTGCGAGAGGCAATATGCGAGACAAAGGACATACAAATATCGTACAAATGCGTACGGGCCAACGGAGATCTGACCTATTTTCCACTTAACACCTCGCGAATTGCACACGCGTGCACGTCGAGGAGATTTCGGTAGATTTCCGAAGATATCGTGGGAACGCTGGGACTTTATCGGAAGATTTTATAATCCTTCCTCTTCCGCGCGTGCGCGCGCGCGCGCATGGATAAACGCGGGGGAGAGTAAGACAAATGATGACGGGTGGAGCGACGGCGGTGGTTTACGGAGGGTAAACAGTTACGGGGAGTAATATGCCGCGCTTATTCAAATCGCCGACAGATAAAATCTGCGAGCGTGCGTCGCGCATCGTTGCGGAGAGCACGATAGGATTCTCCTCCCCTCCCCGCGTCAGTTGTGCGTCTCGTGTATTTTAAATAAATGTCGAGCCTCGTGAAGGCCACCACCCCCCCCCCCCCTTATCTCCGTATCTGACGTCAGCGGACGCATTTCAGTACCGTCGCCGTCGGTATAAGCTTTTAAAAGCTATCGCCGGTTCTCCCGATACAGGGAGAAAGAGTAAGGGAGGCGTCTTAGCGTCTTAGCGTTCCGCGCTGCTCCTTCGGCGCGGCGGCGTCGGAAGACCCGGAATTTCACGTGTCTCGTTTGACTTGCCGATATTCTCCGCTTCCCACACGGTGTCCGGAAGTTTCGTTCCCAAAGTTTCCGGGAAAATCAGAGACAGGGCGCCCGCGACTATGCCCATGGATCCGAACAGGATGAGCGGCAACGAGGGCATTATTTGTGCCTGAGTGTAAACGAGAACACATACAATTAGCAAAATGTTTGACATCAAAATCACATGACGTGCACATTTAGATGTAAAAAACGAAAAGTATATATGAATTATTCGGAAGAATAAAAATTTCTTGTGCCATTTTCATTTTTTCTTTTTTTTTTTTTCTTTTGATCTGCGAATTATAGACGAACGTCGACCGATGTGCAGATCTGAAGGATATTTGCGACAGCACGGCGTTATCGGGTCAATAATTCAAACGTGCGTCGAGGGAGAGCATCTGTTTATCGCAATGCACGTCTGTTGACTCACCAGAAGAGGCGTCTGCGGCGATAAGATCGACCCGACGCGGCCGGTCATGCTGCAAATTCCAAGCAGGGAATGCCTGAGCGTCGTCGGAAACAGCTCCACCGTGTAAATGTAGACGGTGGCAAATGCCATGGTGATACACAGCTTCCCGGCCATGTATAAAAGTAAAGGCCCGTAACTCCAGGCTCCTGAAACACAGAGCGCGGCGATATATCACGAGGATCGCGGCATTGCGGCCCATTATAACCGACATAATTACGTGAACAACACGGTCGCGACTAAGCCGAATGACGCCGGCACGTAACGTTGTTTCAACGCGCTTTTTGCCCTCGGATCCGGATTACGCGCGTAATGTGCAACGCGGCGTATCACATATTTGCAGCTTATATTATATTTTCGCGCGATTGTAACTCGTAGCCGCGGTCACGCTCGCGATTAAACCTGGCGATTTTAACGAGAATACGGAATGTAAAATACGGAAGTCGTAACGCAAGCAGAAGCAGGATACAACAATTTCGCAGTTCTCATTAAACCATAGTTCCAAACGCGCATTTTTTATTTCTTGCCAAGAAAATAAATTTAGAACATAAATTTAGAAAAAAGATAAACACAAGAAGTAAAATGATAAAAATATCAATAAAGTTCTTGGTATCAAATCTAATATTCGTATTTATATATTCATTTATAATAATTCAGGAATATCACAGGTGCACGAAAGAAATAATGAAATGTAAAAAGAACCCTTCTTTATTTTTTCAAATTATGTCTCTGTTCTCTTTTGCTCAAAAGGGAATGAAATGGACACTTAATTAGCCCGTTGATGAAAGAAATACACGACATAACGAGGTGCACACCGCCGGCATTAATGTTCCAAAAAAAAAAATATTCCCGAAATTCTTTTCACATAATATTTCTCTAGCGTAAATTCGATTCAACGGCTTTTCATAAGCGACCCACGAAACGAGGATCCAACCCTGTCTGAGAAACCCCCCCCTTTTTTTTTTATCTCTTTACCTGCCGGTACGAACTGGATGGCGAGACAGAACGCTCCGCTCAGCAGGAACGCGCCGGAGAGCGTTGGTTTACGGCCAATGTGATCGGTCAGCACCCAGGCGAGGCAATACGCCGGTATCTCGACCACCGCGACGAGCATGAAATTGATGTACTTATCCCCGGCGAACGCCACGGAATTCAACGACAGTCCGTAATAAACGAACGTGTTCGTGAGCCAGCAGAACGAGCAGACCAGCAGCCGAATGAGTATCACTGAGCTATGTAGAACTTGGACAATCGGTTTCCTTTCATCTGCTATCACCAGATCGCTTTTCTAAAGAAAAAAAAAATGATATATCGGTCCCATACTCGCGCGGATCATACGCAAATCACTATCTTATACCAACTAATCTTTTATTGACAATACAATTATCTCAAATTACTAATTTTCGAGCAATATATTATTATATCATATTATAATATTATAATGTTATAAATATTATTATTTTATATTATTTTTTTAGATAACAGTAATATTTGCAGATGAGACATTTTTTAATCTCTCATAATTCGATGTACACTTATGAAAGAAAAAGAGATAAAAAAAACATACGTTTTCAGGCTTAGCTACATTTAATTCTTTAAACGCATTGATAGCTTCGTCCGTTACTGGCAGACCATTCATTCGTGCCATTTTACGGTAAATTTTCTCCACTTCCTCGTGTTTACCCTTCGACAGCAGCCACCTTGAAATTAGCATCGCGCATACAATCATATCGCAGATAAGATAAAAGAGTATAAAGAATTCTACCTATATTGCATATAAAAGTTGTTTTGAAAATTCCATTCATTCGTTTGCCGTAAAATATTGCGCTAAAATAATAAATAATTCTAACTCTAATCTCTCGATCTCTTAATGCGATTAATTACATATGATATTATATTCTACTGGATTCACGATAGATAGCCAAAGGGAAATCGATTGCGCACGTAATCCAATATATTGCAGATAAATGTTCGTCGATTTCAAGCCTTGCTAATCGATAAAAAAATGATGTCCCCACTGATACGCGAGTACTCATTAAGATTAAAAGGGTTTACCTAATCGATTCCGGAATGACTAGAGGCAAGAGAATGGCTAGCAGTCCCGGCCCGTACACCACCCTAAGAAGCGTTCGCCAAGATCTTAGCCAGCTCGCGATCAATCCCAACAAGATCTCACCTATGGCGAACATGCAGCACATAATGGTGCTCCCGAAGATTCTGTTTTTCACTCCCGCCGTCTCCATCCCTGACAGCAAACAAGTATATAACTTATTATTAAACGTAATCACGCGTAAGTTACGCCAGGAAGAGAGAGAGACGAAGTGCTAAATAAATTTTGTACGATACACACATTCTTACGTAATGTGCAATTTATAAATAATTATTAATTACTATCTATATCTAAAATTAAATTAAATACTATCTTTATCTATAATTATTAATTGTAGATAATTATTAATTACCGAAGGCAAGCGTAGGAGAATGTACGTGCATTCACGCGATATCGCAAACAACGCGATGTGTGTGATTTGAAGACAACGCGGTATATGGAATCGTTTTCCAAAATAACGCCGAACCTCTTGAAATCGTCTATTTTTATTTATCGATCGATAAATTTAACATTTGAACATTTTGAAGAAACGTCAACGATAGATATCACCGATAAATATCAATCACTGATTCAGAAAAAGAGCGTTTCACCGCGATTTTCTGAGCTGTTCCACGTATATTGTGCGAGACGGAACATCTCTTTTCCTTTTATTTTGCTTTCCATAAATATAATCGTGAGAAATTTCGAACGAAAGCTTATTGTATTCTTGATACAGCTTATTATTAGTTTTACATTTCCCGGGAATATTTTGTCACAGAATATTTTTATAGGAATCTAGATGCGAGCATAAAACTGAAACTACAATTTTAATAAACATTAAATAAACACGTAATAAATCCTGAATAAATAACTCGAAAATATCTGCGTTACGTGTGTCGCGCGTTTACATTTCAAACGCGAGTAAAGAGAATTTGCTTCGCCACCCGCAAATATCCATGATAGAGCAGGTATGACATAACCGCTTACGGATGTCGCATATTTTTTTGTTCTCCCCTGAATTATTGTTCCGTTATTAACGCACCTAAAATAAATCCCGCGCTGTAAATTCCGGCCGCCATGGTGGCATCGAGGAATTCGAATGCGAGAAACATCCAATAATTCACCGAGAAGGAATGTATCAAACCGCTAATTCCAGACAGAAACGTCGCCAGCGTCAAAAAGGTCCGTCTCCCGTATCTGGAAATAAAAGAATAAACGCGGATGTGTACCTCCCGTTGTCCTCCGGCAAAGCGCATTTCTGCCGTGCCGCAGAAATTCCTCGCGATATCACGCGATACGCTCTCTTATTGAGAATCCATGAAATCGACAAACTGCAAAAACATTATTAAAAACCATCCAGACCATTACGTAAGGCTACACGTATTCTCTTAACTGAGAATTTAATCTCGTAACCGATCGCGATTTATCGCATTAACCCTGGTTCATAGAGAAACGTTGGATAAGAAAAACATTCCGCGAACATGCAGCTGATTATTCACATCTCAGCATGTCTAACGCGGCAAAGAAAAAAAATGTAAAAATAATTATAATATATTTTTAGCACCACTAGTGGAGTTATTATTAAAAAGCAAAATAACACGGTTTGAATTTATGTATCCTTACGTCATCCTTTACAAATTACATCGTTATATAACCGTAATTAAATACAAATACAATTTTAAATTTTATTACGTAATGACATTTATTAAATTACTGTCACAACGATGAAACGAAATTTAGAATTATATTTTTCTCCTACGGGAATATATATA